TTGCATTATGATCATCTCCACAATAAAAAATCGATAAGGTTTAAGATCGGTTTTGATCTTTTTAGTCTAATACTTTGAATCGCAATAAATGAGATGAGTGTTTGATGAAATTACAAGTTAAATGTAACATTTTTGCAATCCATTCCAGAGCAAACTTAATTGATTGAAGTCTACATAAAAATGTAGCCGAATGCTTCTGATTTCACCTTAAAACTTGTCAATTCCAAACACACGCATTTCAATTACGATTTAATTTGGCATTGTTATTCAATTTCGTCGTTTCATTTAGAAACAAAATTTCAGAACTTTGTTCAAACTAACATGAAATTGAATAAAAAAAGTTTCCCAATTCTTTATCCACATCTTCAACTTTATCCAATTGCAATGTGAATATTTTCCTCTCAAACTGATATTCACCAAAGTTCATTGCCTTTCGTTTTCAAGTTACAGAAAAAAACTCTTGAATGATCGTAAAGAATCAATCAAATAATCAATAAAGCAATTTAATCTGCAATTAATCCAAGTTTAGTTTCGATTAAATATTAGTTAACAAGAATAAAATTGAAATAAATAGAATTCTCAATCGACCCAGAATTTCCATTATCTGATTCAGTTCATTTTCACACACAAATAATTCATAAATTTAATGTGATATCATAACGATTAAAATGGTTGAGAAGAGTGTAGAGATGAATGTTGATTAAAATGGCAACTCCAAGCCATTTAACATTCCAATGATAACATCAGATTAATTTGAGTATAAAATGCAAGTTAAAGTCGGAAACAATTGATAACAATAAAACTGAAACAAAACTCGGACTTGAACCAGGAAAAGGTTCAGAAGCAAGAAGCAAGAAAAAGAGGGTTTTAAAGACGGGAAATTGAATGCAATGAATAACATTGGAAATACAAATCAACTGATAAAGTTGAACTAAACATGGTTAATAAAAGTAAAGATGACAATAAAAAAGAGCAACAAACATTATCAACTCAACTATCACATAATAGATGTTAGATTATGTTCAGAATTGAGTTGCTTTTCATTATATTCTTGTTTTTGTTGCCTTCTCGTTGCCAGTTATACTCTTGTTTATTTGATTAATGACCCTTCGTGATTGCCTCGTTGTTACCATCTATTAACACTGGAAACTCTTTTTTTCCCTTCAACATCTTTTTCCCTTCACCCATCATCTCAACATCACCTAAGCCTCACCTTAACCTCCTCCTTCATCATCAGCTTGTTATTTTTGTCTTTTTTTCGTTACTTTTCTCCATTTCTTGAGGATATTTTTTTAACCATCAAAATGCAAGAACTAAGTATATTCAACTGTTTCATTTCATTCGCTTTCCCTTTCAGGACATTGATCAAAGTCTGAATGAGAAAAGAGGGTTTCTTTCGTTTTTTTTTGCTTGTCGTCCACCATTTTTTTTTCTCGTTTAACCTTTCGTTTGTTTTTTGCTTATCGTTTTTTCATCTTTTCGCACTCGACTTGACTCATTTGTTTTGTTTCACCATTACGAGTTTGTTGCAACTTTATGGTCATTCGTAAATACATTGTAATTGGTTGCCATTGCATTTGCTCTTTTTTTATGCTTTGCTTTTCCTTTTTTTCATTCTTCACTTGCTTTTTCATTTTGAATGATTACTTTTTGATGATCAACTCAGTAGACTTGATGTTGATACAATGTATCTTGTTAATTCAAGTTGCACCGTAGCTACGATTAATTAACTGCTAAACATAAGTTAAAGTCAAAATGTAATTATTACAAGGAGAACAAGAAAAAACACAATCTATTAATTGACAGTTAAACTTGTATCAATCTCATCATTTCACTTCTATTTTTGGGTTAACATCAAGTATCTCAATACATTTGTTAAAGTGGAGGGTCGACGCAACCTTGTCTCATTAACAGTTTGTAATTAACAGTTGTCCCTTAGCTTTCTTCCTTAATTTATCCCTTCTTCCTTTTTTCTGTTTGCGTTTCTTGTAAGTACAAAATGTATGTATTGTATAAAAATGTCAAATGTACTGGGTGTAGCAATGATATATAGTATCAACATTCAGAGGTCGTTTGCCCAGCAATGGCAGGAAAATAAATCAGGAATTCAGCCTTATTCAAAAGGTTATGTGCCATTTGAAATTGGCGTACAAAATCTGGTCCCTTCGGCTCTTGAATGGGCCTTGGATAATATGGATTGAATTTGAGGTCCTTTCTCAAAATTCAATGGAGCGAAGCTTCAGGAGCCTTTGGCCTCCACAGATCATTTGATAAAAAAATTTCTATCTTCTGTCAACTTCTGAAAGATGCATCATTATATCACTAATATTAGTTATCGAGATATGGCTCAAACCCGAAAAAGTTAAAAACTCATGAAATATAACCATTAAAATAAAATCGCTTATCTATTTGGCGAGCGATCGTTTTATCAGTTTTGTTGAGCAGTCCTCTCAAACAACCGAAACTTAACTGTGCCGAATGAAGGTTGTCTTCATCCTTAATTATGCTATGATTAATCTCAGACTTACCACATCACTTTGTGATACTCTATAACCTTACATCCCAAAGGATGCTTACATTAATGAATTTTTCTTTTAATTAGGAATGAATTAAAACTTCAATCTGTTTCAAGCTATCAGTGAAGTTTTGCAAAATGATTAGTCGATTCTGTATCCAGTTAACCATTATGTTACAAGTCTTAAAAGTTAGGAATTCAAGAAATTGCAGTTCCATGATTCAGTCCCAGTTGAAGTTGAAGTATCTGATGTAAGCTTTTCTCGAGAAATGATCATAAATCAGTGTAAGAATTGAAATGCTCTGTACATTAAAAGCATAGAGTTATAAAGACTTCAATATTTTGTTGCAAAGTTTTACTGATCAATTTGATTGACTTAAATTTCACTCGAATGTCACTTTTCATGGCTAAAGGTTATTCGAGTTGAAAGAGATTGTGCAACTAATTACCAATTAAATGGCCTTTCAAGCATTGAAAGTATTGAAGCATCATGACTTTAATCATGTTGAGCCGATCGCTTCACCAATTCGTTAATCAGACTTTCAACTTGGAAACCAAATTTCTGTTGAAAATTCACCTTAATATTGGCGAAACTCAGATTTGAGGAAAAGAAATTGTCTTTTCCTGAATCATTGAGGAGTACTTTAACCACCAGCAAAGTTGCATTTCAATTTTTCTCAATTACCAATGAAAATGTCAGGTTCAATTGTTGAGTCAACATTTGATAATCATTTCATGTTGATAAAGGTTGGCGAAAAAAGTGTGAAAAATAGTATCTGATTGAATAAAAGAATTGAAAATGTCTCTATCATCTTGAAAAGAAAAACAATTTCAACTCAATTTCCTTTCATGATGAATTGTTTTTACCAAACAGAGTTGAGCAAATTTTTCAAACAAAAAACTGTAAACTCAAAAAGCAGCAACAAAACAGCAAGAAAAAAGACGAACAGAAAAAAGCGAAGACAAGAGAAAAAAAGAGAAAAGAACAAAAATCGCATCTTCTTTTTCCTCTACTTTTGCTCTCCTAACCTCATCATCATCATCATCATTATCGTCTTATTCGCATCTCTTAATGCTCAATAAAGAACTATAAATCACAGAATCATTTATCATCACATCTCAGGAAGAAGCGAGCAACAACAGAGAAAAAAAACGAAAGAAAAAAAAGTAACTCCAAGTAACATCCCTTTGGATTCGACGAGTTTTATCGATATGAATATAATTTACATAAGCTTGTCTCTAACCTTTTCCCATCTTGACTCTTCTTAGGCTCTCTCATCATAATTTAACTCTTTTGGGACTAAATTTGAATGGAAAAGCTAATTTAAATTTCAGATTGTTGTGTGAGCAAGAAAGGGTTATAAACATGCTTTTTATAATGTATAACTTATCAAAGTGTTGAAAATGTTGCGATACTTTTGTTGCTCTTTTTATTATTTCATGATAAAGATAAGAAGATAATAGGGAATCATTTTTCAAAACTATTTTTCATTATCATTAAAAGCACTTTTCACCTTCAATGAACAACTTTTTTCTTCTTCTTCTTCTTCCATCAAACATTTTACTCTCTTTTTATGACCTATTAATAATGTACAGTGTGAAGGTTAATCGATGCGTTCACTTTGTGTGTCACCCTTTTCAATTCCCTGTATCTTATATCAACACGATCAACAACATTATTAGAAGTTAACACTTTTTTTCCCACTTATCTGATTATATTGTTTTGGGCACAGTTTCAGTGACAAAATTAATCTCTTTTAAACATATTGTTTACCTGCTGATGAATAGCTTGCCACATCTGATGATCAACCTGGAAACAATAACATTATCTTGATGAGCCAAATGGCTGATATCAATCACTCAAAATCTTGTAGTCTTTTGGTTAAGTCAAAATGCTCAACTTTTAAGGCAACTTTTCGCCACAAAATTTCGTCTAATATCGAAACTTGAAATGAGATGAAGTTTCAAAAAGACTTTAATTTTTCGAGTTCATTTTCTGTTTTAGAGGAAATTTGGAATGAAATTTCGATTCAAGCAAAATTAAAGTTTTTTGCTTGAATCGAATCGAAATATCTTATTATTATATAATCGATATTTTTGGAAAGATTTTTCCATTAAATCCAAATAAAATATTTGCAAATCTGTATAATTATGAATACGAAAATCGATGTATCTATCAATCGAGAATCTATCGAATACGATGAATCAGGATTTTCGATACCAAAAGCGCTAATGACTTATATTCATAGTTAATGAATTGAAATGAAAAACTCAAATTGAAAGTCAGTGAAGGTAGAAAATGATTTTCAAGAAAATAAATGCAAAGCGATTGAATGTGGTTTGAATGTCTGTTGAAGCGTTTGTCAAAAGTAAATTGATTATTGATTCAAAAATGTTTGTTTATCAAAGGTTCGTGAAGAAATATTTATGGTCAAAATTTGGACGAAAGTTGGTTCTAAAATGAAATCATTTCTTTTATTAACAGATGGACAAAATTTCAAATTGAATAGATTGATGGTTGGAACGTTGGCACGTTTGGAGCATATAAATGATGATTAAATGATTGTAATGAAAAGTGAATAAAATGGATCCTGAAAAGTCGAGTCAACTTTTTGTAAACACTTCATTGAATTATGTTCACTTTGATGAAACTCCAGACCTTTATAAGCACACAGAAAAGAATCGAATCTATTTTTATGGTTCACCAAATGACGAGAGTAAAGTTGAAAATTTGCTCGACTCTAGTGAAACAGTTCTAAACGATTCAAGCAAAGAGCTGGTAATTACAAGTCCAACCTGTAACTTATCAATAAGTGCTCTCTGTAAATCTTCATCCAGTGAATCGGATGCATGCTCATCAACCCGACTTCTCGATAATCATCATGATCACGATCCAATTGTTGCCTATGAATTGTCCTTTAAAACGGACGAGCAAGACAAGTGCTCAGCCAACTTGCAAAATCACCATTTAATACACTCTTCCCATCATCATCACCTACACCAGTCAACCGTCGCATCCATTCATCCACCTTTATCAACCATGATTGAAATGTCCCAAAAGTACCAAGCAAGTGATATCAACTATACGAACCTCAAGCCAACAGCGAGTCCAATAGTGAGCCAAGAAAGTGAAACCTTTTGGAGTAAAATTCACAGCTCAATGTCAACCAAGCTTAGACGGTGTTACCTGGAACGTCACCCATCATCGCACTCACCTTCCCATCAACCCTCATCCACACCTTTTTGCTCTTCATTGCGCTTCTGTCCAAGTAAACCTCGTCTCTCAACTTTACTCTTGTGTTCCCTTGTTATCTGTGCCTTTATCATCCTACTTGCTGGCCTATTAACAGTAACAGAGTTTTCACTTTGGAATAGTTTGATTGCTTTTCACTCCAAATCAAAATTCTCGTTCCATGGTTCATCCAGTTCGCATTCATCTTTACCTTCAACCTCTTCTTCTTCACCTTCCCTGTCGACCTCTTCACTGAATGGTCAAACCATTTGGTGGAGAGATGCTCTTGTTTACGAAATTTTTGTTGCCTCTTTTAAAGATTCAGATTCCGATGGATTTGGTGATATCAAAGGTTTACATGAAAAGTTACCTTACCTTCGCACCTTAGGTGTCAACGTGATTCGTTTGAATTCAATTTTCAGTGCACTTGATTATCCATATTCCTATGAGAATGTAATCAACTTTACCCGTCTCGATCCACACCTGGGCCACTTGACCGACTTGACAAACTTGGTTCAAGATGTTCACTCACAGGGAATGAAGCTTATCCTCGATATTAACCTAAGTATAACCAGTGATCAACATCCATGGGTAGCCAATTGGTTAACCAATTCATCGGCCTCCTTCAACTATCATTACGTTAACAAATCATCAATTACGGTAAGTCGAAAATTTTTCAAAAGAACAAAAAATTAACGACAAAAAACTCAAGACTCAAAACTTGATCCATTAAATATCAACATTTAAACTGATAAACCCTTGAAATGCCCTTGAGAATGGTTCAAAATGATGAAATTAGACCTCGTTTAGGGTCAATTTAGTGTGCAATGAGAAGATTGTCATTAGAAGTAAAGACAAAAAGAAAAGAAGAAAAAAAAGTTGAAAATGCTGCAAAATTATCTCTTCAGGTTAACACGTTAAACCAAATGTCGACAAAGTACAATTTGATAACAGTTTGATGAAATTTTCACTCCCAGTTATCATTCCCTGATTGCACAAAATTTTAAACCATTTTCTCATCACACTTAGCAAACCTATTGACTCTGGCTGTGCAAAGACGAGAAAAGCAAAAGACAAGAAAACTCATCTCAACCCAGCAAAGTGTATTTACAAAGTTCATCTTTTCCTTTTCAATAATGTGTTTCATCTTCACGATGGTGAAAGATGATGAGATGAGGAATGAAAGACAAACTTTTTTTCTTCTTCTTCTTCTTTTCGCTGCTAATATTTATTTTATCTCTTCGTTTACCGTTTCTGTTTTTTTCTTCTGCTTCTTCTTCTTAACCGACTGTTGAACAAAAATTGTCATTTATGATAGTCTGTTAAGGTGATATTTTAAACCCAAAACGACTTTAAACATCTCTTGATAATAATACTTATTGTCCATCAATGTTTACAAAAGATACAAAAGAAGTATCAGGAAGGGAAGCAACAAAAAACATCTCGTTTTTATTTTCTTGTTCAGCCATCATTAACATTATCTTCATGATCATCATCATGATTGCCATCATCATCATCAACAGCAAGCTCATAAACAACCACATGAAAGCCTTCCATCATTATCATTACATTTCTTTTTCACTGAATCTTTTCTTCTTCTTCTTCTTCTGTTACCTTTTCAACTTTTCATCTCTCGCTATCTTATTATCATTATCATCAGATTAACTTGAAACTGTTTCAATGTTTACTTTGTTTAACTTGAAAAAATTATCTCTACTTTTGGTGAAAAACTGGTGAAGGTAAAAATGGAATGACAAAAAATTGAGAGAAAAATTACTTTTTTTTCTCCTTCTATTAATTGACTTACAATTAGTAAATTCAGTGTTGCCATCTTTTTAATGGTTCTTTATCGTTTCCAGATTGTGTTACATGTTCAATATTTTGTTGCGCTCTTTATTAAGTTGTTGATAAATTATTCAATTATGAAGATGATCAACTTTTCCTTTGCTCAAGATGCTACTTTATTGGTATAATAATCATCATCATCTAAATGTATTCAATTTATCTCGAGTTAATGATGATATTAGTTTCAATGATAAAACAAACAAAATAAGGTAAACAAGGAATGGTTAAGAATAATTTTAGCTTCTAATGATTATGAGAAATGTGAGACTTGCCCATGAAAAAAGAAAGCATTTAATATCAATTGAGTTTCAATGACTATGAAGAGAAATAGAGAAGAATTTTCTGGCCAATCAAAAAGTTCAGATAAGATGATATCGAGGTGATAATGATAATTTGACAATTAGTAAAGAGGAAAAGAAAAGAAAATTGATTGCGTTTCCAACTGTAAATGGATAGATAGACATTCGTTGTTAAGAAAAAATGAACTCTGACATAAAGTTCAGGTAAAGTCACACAACTCGTTTGGAAAAGATGAAGTGGCGAGAAAGTTCTTGAAGAGAAAAGCTTTTATTCTAATGTTTATATCGTTTAAAGTTCGTTGAAAAATTCAAAGTATTTGCATTGCGAAAAGACAGGTACATGGACCGTAAGTGAAACCTGAAAGATGAAAGCCATTTGAAATGGCAGCCGATAAATGTATTTGTCAATCTACAAAACTGGATTTTTCGATCAACTGCAATTTATCTTCAAAGCAGATACAATAACTGAAGTTGGCTGCAAATAAATTTTCAAGACACAATATTCAATGGTCATTCCCATGAAAAATTATTGATCAGTTATGCTTTGCATTTGCAGGAAATATTGATCAGTAGAGATGTTCGTTATACTTCGTTGTATCAAAAGATAATCAATTTATTGGTTGATTCCATCTTCGACCGTGTTTTTGCCTCAACTTCTTATTATGAGCAAAGAGTGTATTTGATATAATTTTCTAGCTTTCACTCATGCTGTCGCAATCGCAATGTGTATTAACATTGAAATCAGCACTTTTTGCACAAAAAAATTGAAAGGCAGTATTTCTTTTACTGTCTATCTTGTACAAGATCTGCAAATGTCCCATAACGTGATCTGAAATTATGCAAATTGTTGCTTTTGACCTTTTGCAATAAGATAAGAAGCTAATTAAATCTCATGACAACGAAACCAAAGAAGAACCCTGAAGGTTGTATAAAAATTGAAACGTAAGGTAGAGGAGAAAAGAAATGTTGAAATATGAAGAGACAAAAGTGAAAAATGATAAATAATCCTAGACCATGTATTATTCAGCATGATGAACGCAAGTGATAAGACAAGGCGTAAGACTGAACAGCCATACATAAATTCAGGGTAATAGAGAGTGAAAAGTGAGCAAAAGTCGCATGGGAATTAGATTTGAATCAAACTGCAAAAGCTTTTTTTGCATCAAAAGCAAGGAAAAGAGTCACTCACAATTGGCTTTTTTTTGTGTCTCAAGTTACCTTCGATTCCCTTTCCTCCATCATCATCTTACTTTTTGTTTCTTATCTTACTTGCACTCTATCATCATTATCATCATTACCAACATGAATTTCCCTTTCATTTCCAATGAGATTCATGCAATAATGTATTGGTTGCAAGTGGCAAACTCTCAATGATTGAAAACTTTTTTTCAACTCTTCTTTATGTTCACTTCAACTTTGACCAGTCTGGTTGAAATTGTTGAAGAATGGGAGGAAAAAGAAGAAAAGGCGGAAGAAATGAATTCAGAAGTGTATTGCAAATTCAATTTCACTTTTTGTTCCAGTTTTTTTTCCTATTCATCTGAAGATTGATCTGACTTGATCTCTTGTTGCCATGAAAAATATATTATTCAATTGAGTTGTCTTTCATTGATAAAATGCTGTATTATACAAGGTAAAACCTTGGAATGAATTGGATGGCAAACAGTGAAAGGCCAAATATTGAATGAAAGTTGAAAACTGAAACGAGAGAAATGGTGAAACAATTGAAATTTAAATGCTTTTTCGTCCACAAAAAGGCTTCAAGTGCTGGCAACAATTCATTGAATGAACAAATAAAATTCGATAATTACTCTACCTTTACACTTTGGATCAAACTTTGCTTCTCTCGATTTAAACATTTGTATTGATCAACTTTTCCTTTTTGATCAAATTGACTGATTAACTTTTATTTCAGTTGATTCGTTTGGTGAAATGTCGAAAATTTAATTTGAATGAAAATTTAATTCACAGATTGAAAGGCAACTTAATCAAGGATTAAATTTTAAATGACTTTTAAAGTTAATTACATTCATTAAAATAATAAGTAGGTAAAGATAAAAGAAAAAGTTTCATTATTTCACATCAAATACTATTCTCATTCAATTCAATCAAATACAAATGGATTGACAGTTAAGTAATTAACAAAAACTAAACCTTTCATTTGTTCACAACAATCTGAAAGTTCAAAACTGGAGTCGATCAAAGGCTTTCAAAGTATCACAAAGTTTTCAGAAAATTATTATGTTACCATGCTTTGTCAATTGTCAGTCATTTTCTTTTCGATTATGCTTAATTGTCTAATTGCTCGACTATGTTCACCATGAATCAATCATAGATTCACTACAATAATTATCGCCAGTCGATCTATTAATATTTGATGGCGGAAAAGGGCCGATAAATCATATACCCGATGGTTGTCTGATGCGAGATAACATATTATTTCTTTCGATAAAATAACGAGGATGGTTACCTCATTTCTGCGAGAAAATGAGAATATTACGAAGTTACATGAGTATATTGAGCGTCCACACGTCTGATCTCTTCCTTCTAGTTATTCTTACATACTGGGCTTTGTGCATTTTTCATTGTGTTTGTGGTCATAACTTCCACACGTATGATGCTACAGACCTCTGACTGGAAACATGCGTTTCCACAGATTGCGGAGCCATATTTTCGAAAGCTCAAGGTCATTCAAGGTGACTACGTTATTTGACCTCTAGATAATACCGGGCGTTTTTTCATTTTACGACTTCATACAGACATAATTCACGAACAATTAGTGCTGTAGACGTCATATTTGGAATATTAGCTTATGGAGATAGAAAAACTATTCTTCTTCGTATTTTACAGCTCTCGAAGATGCTACTCTTATGTTGAATTCATTTCTACACTTTCTAAGCCATAATAAACAGTAACACGAATGTACTTTAAGGTACTCATTGTCAAAGAATCAATACTAAATGATTGCACATAACTGATTGTTTATTCATACATAAATGCTGGTTCAAAGATACGAGTTTTGACAAATAGTCCAGTTACCAAGCAGTTAGTAGCAGCAGTAGTTAGCAGTTAGTAGTCAAATGTAGAAGTGACCTTGAATGACCTTGAATGATCTTGAGAGTTCGAACACAGAATTCTCCAATCTTCAATACCTGGCGAACCGCCGTAAAAGTCAGCTGCAAATTAGAAAAGTAAATCTTGAAAGTTATTGAAAGATGGTAATGATGATAGTAAGTTCATATGATTTGGAACCGTGAAGATGCACGAAACATTATTAAATATTGACTGATAGTTTGAAGAAAGTCAAAATTGTACGGTGAGTGTTCAAAAATCAGGTTTGAATGATGACCTTGAATGACCTGTTGAGATTTAATTTGAGATCCAATTTCATCCAAATTTCTCTAAAAAGAAGGTAATGGAAAAGGCATGCTTGTTTGCCTAATGAAGATAAGAGAATGAGATCGTTATATGTAGATTTTTATATGATACGAATTGATCAATTGAAGGGTTCGTGGG